GTTTTGCAGTTTCTTGTCAGCTGCTAACATCCCAAACATAATAGTGCTAATATTTAAAAATCAACTTAGATACCTTATATCATAATATCGAAAATTCATGTTATTCTGCTACGTTTATTGTTCTTGCTTAATTAAGCTTAATAATAGGGAAAAGTTTACGGAATTTGATGATTTCTGACCATTGAATCAATTATACGCTTTTTGTCCGATTTGAAACTAGTCAGCTGAATGTTGATATTTATGGAAATGTACTCTCAAAATTTGTATTCTGTAGAACTAACACTACCAGAACAATATACTAGTTTTCATTAGTGTGAAATTACCAACATAACTTTAGGACCCATTAGAATGTTGTTGAATCTATAATGAATTTGATTATATAGACTCATCTGTTACTTACCGGTAAACAACTGCTGTGTTACGGTCTTTATGGTCAATTGTATGAATTATTGAGAATTCTCGATCAGTGTTTTAACTCATCTGATAATACATATATTGTGTTCTCTATTCGTTTATTCGTAAACTGAGGTCATTAATGAGAACTTCTTGATACGTAACTTGTTTTATTCTTAGGGTATGTAAGTTTATTTATAGAAATTTCCCAGTTGTCCAACACAGAAGGATCAAAGTAATAAATTTTTCTTACTATTAGGAATGTTTACAATTTATGTGATGACAATGTTTAATTGCAATATGTTGTATTACAGTATTTGACACTAAAAATCACATTTACACATTAATAGTTGAATAGTTACATACCATTACCAATATTTTTATACTTTTATGCGTGCACTTTAATAAAATAATACAATATTTATATATGTGATGCATACACTTTGTGACATAGCAAATTTAACCCTTTTTATTATCTTACTAATGTGCTTCAAGTAAGAGGATGATCTTACTATGATCCCTAAAAAGTTTAATAGTTTTTAAATTACTCACCATCTGCTATCTCATTGTGATGAATATTAACTTCATATTACTAGTATATCACGATAGAATTTATAATTTAATGAATAACAAACTCAGTTTTTCAACTTGAATCATACATTCATAGATATCTCTATTTAACGAACATTCATGAAGCTTAAATACTGACGATCAAAACATGTTTATGTTTTATTTATTTATTAATTTTATAAATGATAAATTTTAATTACTATGGAAACATTTGAGTAAAAACTAGTTTAGACAGAGCATATATTTTTTCTTTACATAAGTGCTCATTCAAAAATCATCAGGTTATTAGTTTTAGAACGTTTTAAAAATTTTTTTTTTTGAAAATTTGTTTTTGGACAAAACATTTAAAACTTAGATTATAACGGGTTTTTAGGGTGATTTCGTGGTTGATTGAATGTCGTGATTTACTGTTTTATTTCCGTACTATTTTTATTATCTTCAAACTAATAAATTCTAATAAAATGTATGTTGCATGGGATATGTACTCTGTACAGAGCTAAAGAATGTTAGGGTAATACCAGTGAAAACCAGAGGGTAGTAGGCAGAAGTTTGGCTGTGTATAATGTTTTTTAAATACTACAGAAACACAGTCCAATTGTTAGTTTACTGAAAATTTAAGAGTATTTGAAATCTAACATGTTAGGAAGTTATATATATATATATATATATAAAGTGTAACACTATAAGAATTCCAAAACGACCTACCATAATGAATTGATATTAGCAAGATAACCTCCGTAAATTAGGTTGGACTAGAGAGTTACATTCTCCTGGTTTGAGACTTATAAGCTGTGGCCATTGACTCTCTATGTAAAAGAACCAGGTCGTTAAGATCTTGCAACGAGTATCATATAACTGAAATTCTATGTCCAAATGTAGTGGTGTAAATTGTTCAACCTCCGTCAGGTACCAGGATAACGCAATCCACAATCAGTTGCATCGGTGAATTAATGTTTTGTTCAAAGTTTGACTGGATTCATAAGTCACAGTTTCGTTATCGTAAGAATATATCGAAATTTTGACACATGTCAGTGATATTTGTTTACTTACTCAATAAACAATCCAATTATTCAATTTTAAGTGACATTACAAAACTGTGATCACATTTCTGGAACTTATTTTCGTCTGACTATAAATATCGATTCACGCTTGATTAAATCGAGTTGGCTCACACGCCTTCTCCAATCTGCTTCACTCTTCCCTTTTCGTTTCATCTCCCTGGTTGCCTGTTCAAATCAATGAGTGAATGAAAGATACATATTCAAAATCCATTCTCATATTTGGCTTATTTAACTCCATCATTCACTAACTCGGATTAGATCGTTAATTATGTATAAGGATAGCCGACATGTGTATTTCGATAACAATCAATCATACGATATTACTGGTGTCAGATACTGAGCCACCAAATACTGTAGATTTGAATTACAAAGCTGTTATCAACTTTACTTATGGAGTTATTTTGTTATAAGAAATTGGGATGGGAAACAGTTCACCAAGATACTTTACGATATCTATTTGCTGTTACGGAGAAAAACTCATCGATATAAAGATAGTCAGGTAGTTTTTTATTAAACAAATACACCAGACATAATCGTAGGAAGATATCTGAATGTCTTGAAATTTTACTAAAAGTACAAATGGCTTGAGAAAGAAATTAATTATCACATTGTGTTATTAAGTTCTTATATTAGTAAAGAAGATGTGTTTTATCCTTCTGAGAAACCACAAACGTATACTTCATTTAATTAGTAAGAGTAGTAATTTGAAACAAGGCTGAATTTTGAATACGGGTGTAGTTGAGACAGAACTTGAGAGTAGTTATTTAAGCCTTTAGAACTTTGAGCCATACTGACTGTTTCACGCAATTTTACATTCCAATTATGTTTCAGATAATTTACTGAAGTCATGCAACAGGGATCTTAAACAGGTATCCATAAACAATGTAGTAATTAACACAGTTGTTTATTTGTTCCAATTTACCACAATTCATATCATTATGTCTACATATGAATTTACGAAACTTTGGGAAGAAAATAATAAAATGGGAATCAAAGTTTAAAATAAACAGTTAGTTCTAAAAAAACTATGTTGTGGAGTCAACCTCAGGATCAAGATTAATGCGAAGAATTAGCGAATTTTTGGTACAAAAGACGGTTTTATATAATTTTATGAATAGTCCTCAATGAACAGACTGAAGTCTTATATTCATGGTGATTTTTTCAGTGGTTGAACTACCAAGGCTGATATGACTCCCCGTGAGAGGTCAGGTAATTTCAGATCTAAAGACGATATTTCAAATCAGAAAGAAGGAAATCACACTACAGAAGTTTTGGTGTTGTTTAGTTCACTGAACTAGATGGTTTCATTGCGGAGCATTCCTTGTCGTTCTGAACACCACCAGAGCCCTTGTCATATGAAAGTGAGCCTCTTACTCATTTCACGAGTAATGAATCAGTTTCTCCTAGTGGTTTGCGGTTGCTTATAATCTTAGGCTTTGTTGTCTTCATTTATCTTTATATTCACATCACCTGTCTTCTTCGGTTGTCTTCCGACAGTGTAATTGCCTGTCCTTTTGTGTATGGGCCGATAGATCTTGTGTTTTCGATGTATCTATTGATTCCTGAATAATGGGTTATATATATATATATATACTATATATATATATATATATATATATATATATATATATATATATATATTCAAAGGACTGAAAAATTTGTTTTGGGCTGCTTATCTTTATTTCGAAATCCTGGAAATAGAAAGAATATTTATAATAACAAAGTTGCTAGGTTACTGGCAAACATAGGATACATTAAAAAGAATGAATGAATAAAATAACCTAACTCCTCATTTCTCGTTGCAATTAAACAACCGACTATCTTTCCTAACAACGCCTTTCATATCTTTTGAAAATACTTATTAGTTCACACTAAAATAATATATCCAGTTAACTAAACTCAGCTAATTACCACTTATTAATTCTCTTCATTGATCTCTTACTCTAAATTTCACTATACCCTTGTTTTTGTTGAATAAGATTCTCAAATATTTTAAGGAAGTTTGTACTATACAACGTTATTGCTTATTCATATAACCAAAAAACTCATTTTGACTGAATAAAGGGTAATATATTGAGATATTTCTGAAACATCTTAATTAAAAAATTACTTGTCAAAAACAGATAAGAACTATTATAAAATGATCTAATTATTCTACTGAAATCATTTTCTCACGGAGATAAATGGAGACATTTATCAGTAATTGCATGAAACAAGAATCCTTAGCTTAGTGATCGAAGCATTTAGGACTGAACTAGTACGTCACAGTTTTTAGAACCTGTTCATTAACTTCTGTCCACACAGTATCGCTGTCACTCAGATAAGCTGTATCGCAAAGCAAAATAGATAACCCTTTATTAGTAAATTATCTAAATAATTATGAACTTAGATACTTGTAATTCAACCTGTTGTTGATATTAGAGAATTAATTTGAATCTTTGTTCGCAGATTTACATCCTGTGTGGATTGCCTCAATATAGATATTATGTCACAATATTTTTTAAAATATATGGATCACGTATGGCAGTGGCTTCGAGGTCGCACTTTTTTTCATTTGGAGAAATACTTGTATCTCAGAATTGATATTCACTATGGAATCATAATCCAATACCTGAGGACTCAGTAGCTAATGAGATAACTCTTTAGGCGTTTGAAGCAAAAGACACTAGGTTCAAATCCTGTAGTGAACGTCAACATTATGATTCAGAAAAATCTATTCGATAAGTTTGAAAGAGGACACAAATCTCATCCTGAATCCACTTATTAACCACCTTCCGTCCCTTTTACGTAAGCTTAGGTTCCAAAGAATGATATGCTGACCTCACTGTCCTTTGTTTCTTTCAATTAATACTCTTCACATAGAGGAAAGGTAATGTATTAAATCTGGCTGTAATATATAGAAAATGCATCCATTTTTTGTCTGTTGACCTCTTGATGTCTATCAACATTTTTTTAATTTTTTTGCTTTCATATTAGATTTCTTTCCTACTGGTTTACTACCAGTGCTTAGAAAGCAAGCACTGAAGTGTAAAGAATATGCTATTTGGCGAAACTGGTATGAAGGTATGTGTCTATATTTATAAAATTCCGTATTCCTATACTAAATATATACCAAGACAGTATTTAATTTAATCTAAATCAAGTTGATTTATAACTGCTATTAAAGCTGATTGATGAAAAATCTATTTCTCAGACTAAAATAGTCTTCTCGGTCTACGAGCAAATAATTATATCTGATCCGAAGTATAAAAGTCTTTATGTGTAAAAAGAAAATTGAAACGTTTCTGGGTAAAATCAGCTACTTTACTTCAAACACTGCCAAGTGCTAAGATGAACAATGATTTTCTTTTTTCCCAATCCTACTTTTTATATACGAAAACTTGATTATGGTTCAACTATATAGAAAACGGTTTGCCCTGTGTAAACTGAATTTAGAGTTGAAATGACGTAAATAAACAAGCAAGCATTAATTTAAACTGTATTTTATGCGTAGTGTTTGTGGGCATTTCACTGGCCTTGAATAACCAAAAAAATTAAAGTTTTCCTAAAGTAAAAACGATCAATTAAGTAATGTTCCATGGCTTATAATTAAATACCACGCAAGTTTTCTTTGTCTGAAACCAAATTAAGTTATTTATGAAAACTCGTTCATATGATCTTATAAATTCAGTAATATTGAGGTGCGATCTAATGATAAATAAGTGTTTAACTTATTCGATATTCTGTCAACTTTGTCAATATGAACATGAGAATGTGAATCAACAAAACATTGATGATTTTCAACATGTGATAATCATAATCAGTTTATTTATTTAGCTGTCTTTAGGACAATCCTCCTAATCATCACTTTAGGTGACTCTGACATTATATAAATCATTGTAAACGAAGAAAATAGATTACTTTGGAGTGGACTGTCTCCTTTGTAGTTTTACGAATGGAAAGTTTGTGTAAGCTAACGAAACCCAAATATGGTTTAAAGCCAGTGAATTTCAACTGCAGTCACTTATACCAACAATGAGAGAGTAAACTAAACATCAGCTGTTAATGCATTGTTTACTTTAAGATAAATTAACTGATAAATTTTAGCAGTTGAATTCATAAGTCGATATAAACTATACCACTACTGAAAACTTGATAGCACTGGATGTCTTAGTACGGGACTCCTCAGAAGTGCGCATCCAAAATACTAGGGCGTAGCGGCCATCCAGTGCTTCTAGGTTTTCAGCGGTGGTCTAGCTTAGATTGACTCGTGAACTCAACTGTTTAAATATTTTTTATGGTTTTGATATGAACAAATCACTTTGTCATGATTTTATGTTCATGAAATTAAACTTTTCATCAAAGAATCGTATAACTTGTTAATGCTATTAATGGTATACGATAGGAAGTGAAGTAGTTGAGCGTGTCGACCGCTTCACTTATCTTGGGAGTCTCATCAGCCTGGGATCTGGTGCGTGACGTAATATCAGGACGAATAAAGAGGATCGACTAACTTTTGCCAACGTGGGTCATTTGTAGCGTAGGCGAGATATCTGTCTGCCAACCGAAGGACGGATTTACTGCGCAACAGTTCGTTCCGTCCTACTTTATGGCAGTGAAACGTAAGAGTAGAGGGTATCCGTAGGTTACTAGTATTCGATCATAGCTGTCTTCGAAACATTGCTCGTATATCCTGGGACCATCGAGTAAGTAATACAGTTGTTAGGAAACGGATACTAGGTAAGGATGGCAAATCAATTGATGACGTAGCGAAACTTCATCAGTTGAGATGGCTGGGACACGTGTTACGTATGTCCAACGACCGACTGCCTCGACGTGCGATGTTCAGTGGTATAGGAGTAGGTTGGAAGAAAGCTAGGGGCGGCCAGACTACAGCATGGCACAAATTTATGAAGTCACTGACAAGTGGATTGAGCCATGTTGGTAGGTGTAGACTACTTGGTTGGGGACCGCGAGATGATAGCGACCGATGGTTAGTGACCCTGAATGACATGGTTCGAAATCGTTTGCAATGGCGCAGGTGCATCCACTCTTTGTGTTCTCCCAAATTCTAATCTTCCGAATTCTTCATGTCTCTTTCCAAATTTATTTCACTGGATTATACTCTTTAAACAACATCTTCTAACCCTAGTCTTTCCGATTACTGCTTATACTCTTATTACCTCTACCACTACGGGATTTGAATCGACAACTACATCTCTGTGCTAATATGATATGGCAACTTGAATTGATGTACATACGTACGAAGCTCTACGCTGTTGATGACTGACTGACTGGTATATGAAGTTGCTTATTGTATTGAATATTTAATGTTACCTGTAACTAGGTTTCAAATCTACTTACGAAGAAAATTTCTGATACAAAATTACAATAATAACAACTGAAACTAGTAATTTCAACTAAAGTTAATTTTGTCAGAATGGGCTTTGTGGAGATCTTTAGAAATTTCACTGGTTGAAATCATGAGTCAGTTGAAGCTAGACCACCATGATTCCAACCAGTGAAATTTCTAAAAATCTCCACAAAACCCATTCTGATAATAATAATCACCTGCTCACTAGTGACTGACTTCAGGAGACACTCTTGGAGTTCCAGTGAGAAGTCGTTACCAGTGGAGTTAAACCAGGTCTGTTGTGAGATAGGAACTCACTGAAAACAATGGTGTATGGTGGCGCAGCTTCGTGGATTGGTTGAAGTTAGACATTAACACCGTTGGATGTCGGCTCAGTGGTCTATTTGTTAAGCGCCTGGCGCGAGACTGATAGGTCCTGGGTTCGAATCTCGCGGGGTGCGGGATCGTGGATGCGCACTGCTGAGGAGTCCCATACTAGGACGAAACGGCCGTCCAGTGCTTCCAGGTTTTCCATAGTGGACTATCTCCAATTGACTCATGATTTCAACCAGTGAAGTTAATTTGTTAACCAAATAAAAATTCTTATCTCTGCTTTGTTATTGTAATAAAAGAAAAACAAATTTTCAACTTTTTCTCTTATATCAATACCAAATTATCATATTTAAGTTGAAAAGTTTAACTGTTCAAACAATGATGTATCGTTTGTCTACTTAATTGTCAATAACGTATCAAATTAACTTAATTTCAAATTATGTATAATATTGAAAAGGATTAAGTCAATTTAATTTATTTCATTTAAAGGTAAAAAGTCTTTAAATAGTCAGATAATCTAGAAAATCGTATCAGTGAAAATGTACTTTTTACAATAATATTGTCAATTTCATAATAAACTCTTTTTGTTTCTCCTATTTTCTTTTTATCAGATGGTAAATAATATTGAATATGTAAAATTGTTATATAACTAAGATAAGTAGAATATTTTGTCATTATGTATAATACAAACGTATAGCGTTATAGATAAATAGTATATATGACCCATTTTTGTATATATCAATAAATCTAGAAAACCTCTTTATTTTATACTTATGCTCAAATTTAATTTAGATTGATTTTAGGCAAGAATATTTTTTATACAGTTAGTGTTTTTTCAATACTTTCTTCCCAAATCTAATACTACTTAGATATGTTCCATATAGTATATGCAAATTCATTGTCACCTGATGTATTGAAAAAATAAGAGTCAAAATGAATTATTTAAACATCTCAAATTCGTAATGAGAATTATCACATGAATTGTAAAGTAATATGAATAGGGAAACATAAAGTAGATAGCATTATGTGTGTTCTATTTTTAGTAGATGTGAAAGTATACTGTTAGAATAATAGAATTTCATTTGATTTCAGATGAACAGTAATTTAGCAAACGATAGTTAGGAGAATAAAATTCCTAAAAAAAATAAAGAATAATTTGACCTTTATTTGAAATTATTCAATTCACGATATTGCGCGACTAGCCTTCATTGTCTTCAGTGGTTAACTGCCTCACATCAAACATACTTGAACTTCACTGGTCAAGGACGATGGTCAAACAATATCGTGGATTGATTGAAGATAGACATTAACATCGTTGAGTGCTGGCTCAGTGGTCTAGAGGTTAAGCGTTCTTGCACGAAACTGAAGGTCGTGGGTTCGAATATCACGTGCGGGCTCGTTGTTGTGCACTGCTGAGGAGTCTCATACTAGGACGGAACGGCCGTCCAGTGCCTCTCGGTTTTTCCTTGGTGGTCTAACATTAATCCACTTATGATCTCAATCAAAACTCAACTGTCTGCACAACCCTATACTGATATTATTCAATTTTAAAAAATGCAAATATGTTTGCAAAGCCTGAAACATGATAAGGAAAAATAGCAGTTTAGTAAATTTATCAAGGAACTTTATCGCTGATGGCATTAAAATATTTAATACGTATAATTTCATTTATTTAATGCAAATTGTACATTTTTTAAGATTTCTTCCACATCAGATTGACCTGTTGAGACTCATTAAAAACTATAGTTTGAGGTTTACGTACACAATATAATATTACTTCAATCATTATGATTTACCGTTATTTCATAACTTTTACTGAGAAAAGATTTAATATAAATAGGATAAACTACAACAATTTTAGGATTAATTGTGAATCTCATTAGAATAATGAACTTCATAGTCAAGAAAAAAAGTCTGGAAATGCTTGAATTAATCATTTAGTAAAACTATGTCATATCTTATCATTTGACCAAATGATACATACTTTCAATTTATATGTGATCGAAAGATGTGTGACATAATTCGATTATACAGCAATCCTTCTTAAAGTCAAACTCATAAATTACAATCGGGCTGAAAGATGTCCGTTACAGGTTTGGGAACCTAGCTGCTCAGAGGTTATTTTACTACAGTTGTATCTTATATTACATTTCCTAAAGTTCACAGTATGGATGCTCATACTGTTACAGATGCACATATCTAGACTTTGATTTCGACAATCGATATTAACGAGTAGATGTTTAATCTTTAAAGATCAGATGTTAGATATTGTCGATATTTATCGATGTTTGACATTTAACTAAGCTACATCATGTTTTACCCAGCCAACTAGCTATTTAGCGACACATTACGGAGATTTGTTTGTTTATATAAATTCTCTATTTTGTTGACTATCGTTATCATTTAGTTGTCTACGTTCGATTCTTTATCACTTTTCATCAAATTTTTTGTTGTTGCTGCAACCATACTATCAGTTAGTAAAATGAATTACAAACTTAAATACTTACATGTTTGTTAGTATAAATGTTAATGCTAGAAGATGAAATAAAAACAACAAACAATTCTACCAACTAATAATTATCCATTTATTTATTTTAACACATAGATATTGATACAAGGGGGCACCAGATACATATGCACCACACAAATCTCATTCGATATGTATGAGGGCTGTGGTACTGCCCGGGTGCCCAAACCGAAGCAGGTGGGTTTCTTAGGGGGCCGCTCTCTAAGCCTTCGACCTGAATATCTGATCCACAAGGCAGTGGAGCATCGTAAAGAGATGCAGTTCCATGGTAGCCGGTGATCAACAATTGGTTCATACTCCGTTTATTCCTTTAGGATACTGGAGCCCATGTGCACCATTGGTTTGGGATCCGGTTAAAGCGTCAGACATTCGCTTTTCGTCCTCTCATTTTCGTAAACAACACCCCCGCTACGAGAAGGCAGTGAGTAGGACTTCCCTGGCAGAGGCTATATACGCGTGGCCACGTGAGAGCATTTCGAGAGGGAGAGCGGACTCTCCCCACTCTTGGCCGTACCAGGGTATTTGGGGGCAATAATTATCCATAGTTATGAAAAAAATTTCTTCGTTCTTAATCTATATATTCAAATTATTATTCTTTTCAGGGATAAGGACAAAAAATTTACTTTTTAAGTTATTTGAACGGTTAACATGGATATCATTTAGATTACTCTGTTTAAATACAAACAAAAAAACAAAACAATTTATTTTGATATTATTCTTGCTTTTGGCTTTCATATACATTTTTCATTTTTGCTTAGATAAAATTATTTCTCTTGTATTATTATTTTTACTATTATTATTGTTATTTGAATTACTTTGAAAGTCATTCAATTTCAGTAAAACAAAAAGACATTGATGAAAGTGAACTGACCTAATACATTTGTAATTATTTATTATTTTAATAATAAAATATTGTTTAGTCCTCTTGAAAAAAAAACCCAGTGAGTTTAATAAAACTAAAAAAAGGGTAAAATTTATCGGTAGAATAATTTCCATAAACTTTCAAAGAAATAAATTTTTTTTTAAAGTGTTTATTTCAAAACTTCCTCGTTTAACAAATTATCTTATTATTAAAAGATTGCTGTATTGATAAAAACGATATCGTCAACTTGATTATAATTTTTATCGTCAAATGGCATTAACTAGGGACTACTGTCTTATCATTATTTAGGATTCATTATCGATTTGGATAAAAGATTTCATACGCGATTGAACTCAGAATATTCGTGTTTCTTAACGGATATGATTATTTTGAATAAGTAAGCTAGAATCGAGTAGCTTACAGTTCAATCTTCATTCACTCTGCCACTGTTATACAAAAGCTTTATTAGTGACTGTTTTTGTTTTGATATGGCTCTAAGCAATCATCCACAGCATCATACCGGTTCTTTGAGTATTCATTTCAAAGATATCAACCAGTGATTAAATAAATACTGATGCATGATGTTTCATAAAGATTATTTCAATTTCATAGTGGTCCTCACTATAAGGCGACACTTGCTGGATGGATGCAGCTGATAAGTCCCGTACTAAAATGAAATATTTATCCAGGACTCTCTAAAACTTTAATTAACCTATCAATAACATCAGTCGATGATGCTAACTACCTCATTATCAGAATGATCTCTACATACCATCTATATTAAAAAAAACAGCCACTGTTTTGATGATGAAGATAACGATATTAATGCCACTGCTATTCAATGAAATTTTTTTCTGTATACAAAACGTTACGTTGATTATTAAGGTAAGTTATCCAATTATAAAGTACACTTTATTACATGTCGAATCTTTAGGGCGAAATTCATCTCAAAATAATAATGAGTAAACTAAGTGTATATGAATTAGTAAATTCTCTCCTTGTTTTACAATAAAATAATTCTGACTAAACAAATATAACTGTTCGTATATGCAGCAACAATAAAAACGCAAATGACTGTTTTCTTTTGTTGACAGTGAAACAATATATTTAGGTAAATCATGATTTTACAACTTTTAGCTATCATAATATGCTATGGTAATCAATAAACAGTGCATTAAGTATTTTTCAAGTATTTGATTATTTGATAAATATAATTCTCAAGACGTATTTAAATAATATTTGGATTATACTCTTAAATCACTTTTTACCAAGTAAATCAGCTGATTTTTCTTTATCATTACACTTGTCTATTGACTATTTAGCTTTTCAACGTCTTTAAAAGTTATGATCCATTTCCTTTCTCTCTTTTACTTTTCAGAATTTGATTAGATTTCGATGAAATCTATTTCACTTAAATTCATTTGTATTGGCTGTTTTAATCTTCTCAATGCAAAAGCTAGCAACTATCTAAACTTTGTAGCTAAGTGGATAATGTGATAACGTTTAGAGCGAATGGTACTAGGTTCAAGTCCCGAAGTGGACATCAACAGGCACATTCAGTTGACGAGTCCCCAATAAGGCGAAACACAAGTCCTGGATTCTACTGCTAGCTACCATCTAACACTGCCTATTTCACTGTGCTTAGATTTAACTTAGTCTAGAGCCACATATATATTAGTTTTCTTTTAATTTCTCTTCCTAATAAGATTAAAGTTATCAAATTTTTTTACTTATGGCATTTTTGTATGGCATCATAAAAAATTAACTCTGGGCTATACCATTCTCAGTGTATAGGCGGTATTCATTGAAATACATGATGATCAGAATTTATGCATCAGTGTTTTACCATAATAATAATCTTAAAGTTATACTTTTGTGTAAATGAACAAACATTAGCTCTCGGCTATAAAGATATGAACTTTTATGCTGTAATCTACTAAGAATTTAAAATCTAAATTGTAAAACGGTTTGTAAATTACATTATGGACTGAATTCAGGTAAACAACCAATGGAACAAGAAAGTTCCAATATGGAACTCATCAGTACCTTGCAATATAACCGCTGTTGTAATAAAACCGTCCTAGCATTAAGCTCGAAAGTTTCTATTTTAAATCTAATCAACTCGTAATACTATAAGTCCACTGTCGACTGGCATCAACAGGTTATCTCTTCGAGATTATGCTTGTTTTTCATTGATGAATTATAGAATATTCTTCAGTTATTTTTGAAAATCTTCTAGAACGTCCATGCAACTTCTTATCAGTTAAATCATGAAAATGAGATTATAACATAACGTATCATAATGCTAAAGTTTTGTGTCATCGAAACTTGATTGAAACCTTAAATAAATCGTTAACTGTACATTTTTGTTAGGTGATTAAGGATACTTGACAGGAAATTCTGGATTTCGTTTTCATTCTAGTTAAAATACGTTCTCATGATAAACCTGCAATCTTGTATGAATCTTGTGGAAGTTCAACTCGGATCACTCAGCTTCCGATTTCGAGGTACTCAATCAGTATTTGATCTCGTATAAGACCAAGATATTTAATTTTATAGGCTAGGGTAAATATTTATAAACAATGATCAAAATTTGTTTATATTTGTCTTCCACTGAAAAACTGCAAGCGTTTTTGTATTTTACGTTATAAGAGGTATAATACACGGTATTTTCTGATACCATTGTGAATTAAATTTTTTTTATCCTTGTTTTACTAAAAAGATGTTATCCAGTTCAGTTTATTTCTATTTCTCTTGTTATTTTTTAAATAGAACATCAAATGTTCGAGTGTATATTGAAGAAAAATGACGAGAACACAATTTCTGTAACAGGTGATAACTATAATTTACAAGATACCTCAGAGATTACATTTTCCAATAATGTAGTTTCTCATGAAACATGTGATCACTTAAATCATAATTCATTATATTCAATTTACAATATATATGTTCAAAAAAATACAGTCAATACTTCTGACACGCAATCATCATTTTGTCCTTGTAATATTGATAAATGTCAAAACTGTTGTATTACAATGAATTTACAGCGGTTATGGGGCTCCAAAGCATTTCTAATTATAACTGACATAAATTCAAGCATTGAATTAATTACTTATATGACGAAATTATTTGTTAATGATGAACAAACTTGGATGAATATTTTATCGTTGATACAAAATGAAATAAAAGCATCAGGTAAGCTATGTATTTGTATATTAATAAAAGTGTGTGATATTTGTTTAAATTTTTCGTTGTAACTAATATGACATAATCATCTATGTTGTGCCGTCGTCCGGGCCTGATCTAGATATATTGGCTACCTATATTCGACCCCAGATCAGCTACTTGAATAAAGAGATCGAGATAGAGTATTATTATTTAGCAAGACCGAATAGAGAACAAACGTACATCCACTCGTAAAAAAGCACTTTTATGTCTTAAAAATTGGAGACATTATTTTGAGTATCCGTTACATCTTGGGTGGTTATGTGTTCTCATCTTTTGGTTTATGTCTGATTGACTCACGGTATCACAATCATTATTGAATATTTTCTTATTGTATTACGAATTGTTTGTAGTTGTTATTGTAACCTAGTAATCTCCAACTCGTCAGCTTAATAATGTTTCTACGTGTTGATACATTAGATTCTATCCGTAATGAAGTCACGCGTATATGATATTATAAAATCAGAAACTGTGACGGAACAGATTTCTATCTTAATCTTTTTAAGTTTAATGGTTCTAAATCATGTATCAATTAATGATGAAGATTATTCTCATATCTAGATTCTTTTCTCCTGAAGTATCACATCATTTGAAATACATAAATACTTGTTACTAACCATTTCTTTTTGAATTTTTAATAAATAACTAGAAGTTTGGTCATTAAGAAAAGGTAATCTTTCAAGACAGCGTGCGAAAAACAATGAACAAGTCACTGTGGGTGTAATTCAATGATTTTAAGTGATTCGAATGTCACTCTTACTTTTACGTACCTGTTACTTATATGTAAATATAGATTTTGTTAAATACTAGTTACAGTTTTGAATGCGTAAATATACTTAGGAATATATCCTTTACTGACACAGTTTTATCATAACAAGCTATTTTGTTAAACTTGTAAAAATTTCGCATTGTGCATTTTCGGAATTGTTTGTTTTTAATGATTCCATAGTAAGAAGTTTAAACTTTGAACGTGCTGTATAGTTGAAGGTTGACTTTGTGGCTAAATTCAATGGCTTTATTTAACTCGTAGTAGGTACGAATGTCGCTCTTCAACTTTCGATTTAGGGTTGCTTAGTAGCTCTTGCAAAAAATGTAGCTTTGGATCGAGTACTTGTTAAACTGGATCTAATCACCCAAAGTTTTCCATCAATTTTAACATTTTGATAAGAAAAAGTGAATATATAATATAATAAAAATGTAATTTTGGAATTAGTTTATCACAAAAGGCGAGGAACACCCGCTCTATCTTTTCATAATATGAGTACAGTTTGTATTCTTCTGTCTGAATTCCTCGGTGTATGAAATTTACAGTTTGAAACTGTTCGATAGTTGTATTCTCTAAACATATTTTCAACTTAACTTTTATTATATTGCTTTAGACTGAACATTACAGTAAACGAATATTGCGTAGATGTTCATTTCCTTGTAGATACTACAAGTATAGAAAATAGAACTTATTACTGTCAGGTAGTTCACAAAGTTAAAATGTTTCGAAAATTGTTTCAAAAATCTTTGTAAGCCCGAATCGATTTGAAGCAGTCCTTATGACTAAAACGAGAGTGAACTGGAGAAGCTTTCTGCCTCCGGTAAAAGAGATCAAAGCGAGGTCATAATTATTATATATGATTTACAGATGACAGGGTGATTTTTAAAAGTGTGGAATCATACAGAGCAAAGAATAATGAGAGAATAAAGGATAGAGAAACATTTTTCATTCAAATTTCAATCTAGAGTAATAAATTGATAATGCTAACTAAATAACGCTACGGTGTTTGACAAGATCTTAGAGTAAACATCTTTCTTTTTTGCAAAGCATAAAAATCTCAGTGAATGTTAATCATATAATAAAACTGAATTTAATTATTTATCGTTCAGTTGCTATTCAGTAGACGTCATTTAGTCTAAACTGCTTATCCTTTAAAATGAAACAAATAACACAAATCGATTATAGGCGGCCTGCTTGAGCATCTGGGCTACCTGTTCCTGTCATCTAGACATTTCAACAAGTTATCTATTTTTGTTTGTTTCAATATATCATTATGTCTATTAATCGCATAACTTATCCTGGTGCATTTCCGAAAAGTGTACAACCTTTCGTTGTCAAAGTTACAAAAAGCCCAATAAGAGATAATATGGTCGCTGGCAATATGTAGAGAAAAGAATATACATTATTCAGATATTCATTTACTGAACTGCTAACATCTAACTGGCGATCACTCAGTATTTATCGTCAGGGTCGACCAAGAAGTAAGAAACGGAAACTTGTTGAAATACTTTGTGTTGAGAATACTAAATTGTACCAAAAATATAATATTGAATAAAGCCAAGAATAATAATAATAATAAATTCTTTCAAACAATATCTTTAGTCATTAGTAATATCTATATTATTAGAAGTTTATGAATACAACCCAGTTTTATTTATAGACTTAAAATAGGTTGATTATATTATTGAATTCAACTTCCTCATAAATCTATTCTTTTAAATATTGTTTATATTCACTAAATTCAATAAATTATTTATTAGGAAAAATGAAAACAACCTATTAATTTCTATATACAAAATAATATATAGAACTTACTGATCAACAAATTTTTCTAATTTTTTTTTAGTTTTATTTGTTGCTCATAATCTATTTTGTGGACAAAAATAAGTTGAATAAACTAAATTCTATAAATACGTGGTGATAAAAGCAAAAAAAAACATTTTCTACCTCTTTTTTTTAGGAGGAGGGGTGTAAATATGATTTTTATTTAATTGGAATAAAACAAATAAATTAGGTGTGGAATGAAGCAAATGAGAAGAAAATAATTAGTGGTGCAGATTTTTCTAAGTTTAGGATTTAATTTTGTATAGAACATAAAGAATGATTTATTTTTCGAGGATTCATTCAAAGCTTCCTTTGGAAATAACTTAATAATATTTTCCAGTTTTATATTCTTTATTAAAAAAAACTTGTTTTTTTAATTTTTCGGACGACTGAGCTTAAACATATATACCGTTGGATGACGGCTTACTTTGTCTAGAGTTTAAGGGTTTGTGCTCGAGACCAAAGGTTCTGTATTTGATTCCTGTGTGTTGTTGAGGAGTCCTTTACTAAATCGTATCCCTGCCTACTGCTTACAGGTTTTTTAGTGATTGTTTAACTTAGATCAGTTCATGATGTCAAAGAAAACTATAGATTTGGTTCAGTAAGATTGTATTCGTCACATATTCTGATAATCTTGTTCATACGGCTAACAGTATAAATTAGACTTGATTTAAAAATCTTCAAACTTTAGCAGCTTAATTTTAAATTCATTGAAACGTCAGAATCCTTGTATAATAGTAATACAAACAATATATAGGTTTATGGCTAAGACGTTTTTACTATCAGCTCAGAAGGTATTTAACTGCTCACTTACCCGTACATATCGATTGTTTGTAATTAGCACTTATAGAGAAAAATAAGTCAAATAAAAATCAACTAGTGAGTTTACTCATTACGGAAAACGTATACTGTCTATACAAACATGTCAGGCTATTGATAGGCATTTCAAGGATATAGCTCATAAAATGAAATCGATACCGATAGTTTATACTGTTTTTTTAATAAAATGTTAAATAATTACGGGCCTCTTGACTGTCTATAAATACGAAATAATTATCGGAAAATGGAGGTATAGTAAAAGAAAAGAAGTGAAGAATATTTTTTGTTCACCTTACTGCATTAGGTTTTTTGAATAATTCATATAACCCTTCAGAAAATCCATTATGAGAAAGTTCAATGCAAACAGCCTTTCATTCTTATTTCGGTCGTCAAATAGTGTTTCACTCGTGCGTAAGAATGACTAGAAAGCTTGTAAATACCCTTGCAGATTAGGATCGGCTGTTAACAGATGCTATTTTGTGAACTCTTTAAAAGAAGTGAACTCCAACGGTGCTGAATTCATGTAACCATGGTGGAAGACTGTCTATATACAAACTTATAAGTAATAATAATATGCAAATAAACGAATATTTCTCAGCATAGAAAATACTTCGATTAAATGAGGAAAGCCTAAAAAACAGAAGAGTTTTGAAAAACTGAACAATATAGAAGAATTAATTTACACTGAAAAGTGATTAAGGTATTTGTTTAATGAATAATTGTAATTTTTACTACCATTCTTACTGTTCTGTTTATTTTCTCTGGTGTTGTTATTAGTTTTAAATTTCTGAAATTCAAACATTCAAGCAAAATCTAAACTAATAAAATGCGACATTAAATTGGCTTACATTTCTTTTCCTATGTATTAATGTAGTGAACGAGAGATTAGGTACGGTTAACCAATTTATTTTTTTATGCCAAATCACATAGTACCTTTGTACAATATGAAACTCATACATTAAGTATATCTTTTGAACATCTCCCTTTAATATTCCTTTATATATTCCATTATTCTTCTGATTCTATTGTTATTCCGATTACTCATCGCTTCCATCTTGTTCTCTTTATTTCAATCTTCTGCTGGGAATTTTTCCACTTCCTATTCATGCTACACACTACTTAAATTTGTCAGTATACACCACGCTACTACTTTTTATCATATATTCATCATTATGTAAAAATATTGTATCCAATTCATTAGATATGATGTGTAACAAGAAAAACACTATTGTAATATTACTTAGCCAATACATTTTAAGAATTAATGGCCTGTCAGTTTCAATAAAATGTGTTAAACGTGATGAATTGCCATTATCATATTGATGAAAAATGATTAATGCTGTCTCAATTTTATAATGAAACACTGTATACCATTATTTACTCTACATGTGAAAATTCTTAAGCTAGTGATTATAGAACGAACTAATCACTTATGAAGTGAAAACATCTTTATATTAAGTTGTGCAATAATTTTGATAACCTCGTCGGTAAGTATTTATACATAACTTTACTTGGTCATTATTATTTACTTCATATTAAAACTGACTTATGTTAGTTATCC